ACAAGGCATCCTAAATATAGATTTTTTTTTCTTTTCAATTTATTAGTGGCCTTCTTTTAGTCTTGCAAGATACATCAAATGGGTTTTGAATCTTTAACTAAAATGATGGTTGGTAAGCGAGGATTCAGGTAGATGGATTGCATGTGTATGCAAATTTTGTTAGTTTTCAAAATTTGAAGAGACACGATAATGATGGTGGAAAGTGAAAGGTAATTCAAAGGCGGGTATAGTTTCTTGCCTCTTTTATAAGAGTAGCCAGGATATTAATATATATATTTTGGGGAGGATTTTATTAGGTTAGATTGTATTAAATCACATCACATTAAAAAAGTGCGATAATTTAATATTGATAAAGATATAACCGTAAAAAAAAATACATTCTATTGGGTGAGTATTTTTTCTTTTTATACACCCTACCATGGCCGATCTACTTCTAGTTATTTGTTTGACTGTGTATGTTCTGTTAGTAGTCAATGATGGATGAACTGGGAATTCTTTCTCGGAGAATTCATCTATGGTAACAGGATGAAAAAAATTTAAAACATCTCCATCGGTAAAATACAATTCTAATTATGAAATGATAAACTTAACAAAATCTAATGAAAGTTTAAAAGTTCGAAACTATATCTAATTGATATATAAGATAGTTTTTTGGTACCCTACCAAAAGAATATTTCTCCTCCTCTCTGACCACATTAGTTGATTATAAGTTCATTGAAAGATGGGTTCTATCTGACAAACTGATTCTTGAAAGTGTGGTCACATGTGATATATACACACATGGATGAACCGGATAGATTACCTAAAGGTAAAGAAGAGGCTTGTTTTAGAAAATATAGGACCCAAATATATATATATATATATATATATATATATATATCCTTTTTAACACCTAGTCTTCCTTATCAAAGATGATATGTTGGTCACTAGTGTACACTAATATATATTAGTGTCCAAGTCGACAATAGGTAAAAGGTCGCTTTCCTTGAGCTTAAGAGTCAAACTTTAAACTTATCTCTCTTTTTCTTTGAGCTTGTCATTGTTTTTTAGTCTGCTTAGCTATAGTGAAATAAACACTCTCTCACACACACACACACACACACGTACGTACATATATATCTTGTAGGTTTGTCATTATAATTAGACTTGGTCTTTCTCATCATATTGCTAGTACGGACAGGTATTTATAGAAGGAAATGGATCGTGTAGAAAATAGCATTAAAATTGCACTCATATGTGTGTATATGTGTGTGTCATAACCTTTCTTAGGTTGCTAGCTTTTAAGGTGAGACATTGCTGGATCAACACAGTTCGAGTATATAAATATATGTATATGTGTGTGTTTAATATAGGTATACATGTATATAATCGTTATGTTACTTTTGGATCTAATCAATGAGACTAAGTAAATCAAACTAGCTAGTGGAGTTGAGTGGAATAAGCTCCAGCAAGTTGATCAGAGAATGCTTTTTATATTGTTTCACATGGTTGCAATTCAAACCACAATAATTAAGTGGTTCTCTATGTTTGAACTTTGGAGATTCAAAAGAGGGAAAAAAATGGGGTGTGTATATATATATATATATCGTCATCTAGCTTTTCTATAGTTCATTATATTATTCCCATATAATTTCCTTGAAAAATTCTAATGTCAATGACTAGCTTTTGTTTTCCCCTCGTTTACACACTTTTTTGTTCTTTGACGTTAAATAAATAGATAATGTAAGAGGGAGAAAGTAGTTCCATCAAAGATTGCAAAAAAATTAGGAGAGTTAATAAAATTATTGCAGGATCATATTCATATGTCACATACCACCATTTAAATTAGGTTAACTTCACGTGTATTTTCGCTGCTATTGATCAGAAATAGTGTTTTCCAAAACCGTGATCCGGGGTTTTGAATTGGAACACCACCTTTCACTTTAATGACAATTTTTTTTCATTTGTAGTAGAAAAAAATGTGAAACTTTTGGTAGAAAGTAGTAGAAGCATTAGAAATAAGTGGTGCTTTCAGCAGATAAACTTGTTTTTCACAGATCATGAAAAACGGCATGCCCCTGTGAGCATAAAATTTTTCATCGTTTCAGCAGGGAAACAAGACGTTAGTTGTCGTTTAAATGCAGCTTAAAATATTGTAGTCTCTCAATCTTTTTTTTTTTTAAAGAACAAAATTTTCGGGTCTAAATTTGCAGTTGTTTCAGTAGTAAAATGACGTAGTTCTTCTCTCAAAAGAAAAAAAAAAGAGGCATGGACTCGTTCATTTTACCGATTCGAGTTTTTAGTTTTAGATTTCTGCAGTAAAAAATTCTCAAAAAATGTCACATCTAACTTTTTTTGCTACAGTGAAAAGTTCTCAGAAAATATCACATCTCAACTCAAATTGAAAACTCGAATCCGCAAAGTGAACGAGGCCTTAATAATTTGTTGAGAAGTTTCCTATCTTTAGCCAAACAAACTAAAGAAAAAGGAAAGAAGTAAAGAAAAGAAAAGAAAAAAAAAAAAAAAGGAAACAAAAAAACAAGCTATTAGCGATTTTTTTTGTTGGCTAACTTTCAGTCTCTCACTATTGTTTAGGAATACTATCGAATGTTTAATTCATCTAAACGACATGTCGTATGAACTGATATTTAGTTTTTAGTAGTTGCAAAACATGCTGTTCTTGTGTTGTTCGCTGCAAAAATGTTTTTAAAAAAAACGGAAAATTTTTTCATCCAGCTAAACAATCTTTTGCTTGTTCTTCTTATTTATTTATTTATATTTGCTTGAAACATTTTTTTTTAAATGTGTTGCTCCAAAAATGGGGTTTAGTTTGCCGCATAACTTTTACTGTCGTTTTACAAATAAATGCATCGTTTTAAGTGGTTTATAGAAAACGGATTATCTTTTGCGCTAAGAATAAAATCCGCCAATGAAACGACAAACCATTCTTAAAAACTTTGGGTACGTTTGGAATTCAATGATTTTATTTTCTGTATAAAAATGAAAACAAAAACGTTTTCATTTTCATTTTGAAATCATTTCTGAAAATGCGTTTGGTAGTTTTATTTCAAGATTATTTTCAGTTTAAAAAAAAACTGAAATTGCGTTTGGTTTTACATTTTTAAAAACATGTAATAATATTTGAAATAATATATTAAATAATTAATAAACTCCTCAATCAATACATTAACGACACAAATCCGACTCAAATCTAACAAAACGACTAGTCCCCAAACAGATTCTCAAGATGACAAACGACACAAATCCAACAAAACGGCACAAATCCAACAAAACGGCACAAATCCAACAAAACGAATCTAACCAAACGGCACAGATCTAACCAAACGGCACAAATCCAACAAAACGACACAAATCCAACAAAACGATACAAATCCAACAAAACAAATTCAACAAAATGACACAAATCCAACAAAACGACGACATTTCGCAACCTCCTTCCTCCCGTTCCCCTCCTGCCGCTGTCACAGCCCCTCTCCCTCACCCACTTTGCCCTCTTCCTCCTCCGCTCCTCCGCCGCCGCCTCCGCCTTCGCCGACCCATCTTTCCTCTCCACCACATCTGTCCTCATCGACAGCTCCACCGCCTGATGGAGACCTCTCCCTCACCCACTTCACCCTCTCCCTCCTCCGCTCCTCTGCCGCTGCCGCCGACCCATCCTTTTTCTCCACCACATCAGTCCTCATCGACAGCTCCACCGCCCGATGGAGACCTCTCCCTCACCCACTTCGCCCCTCTCCCTCACCCACTTCGCCTTCTCCCTCCTCCGCTCCTCCGCCGCCGCCAATCCATCCTTCATCTCCACCACATCCGTCCTCATCGACAGCTCGATCGCCCGATGGAGACCGAAGATGAGGGAGACCGGGGGGAGTAGAGGAAAGAAAGTTAAAATGAAAATGGGAAAAGTAGACCAAGGAAGAAGAGATTGACACGAAAGAAAATAAAAACGAACCTCAATCGTTTTCTAATTTCTGCATTTTTGGGAGAGGATCAAAAAACGTTTTCATTTTTAATTTTTATAAAATGTTACGCCAAAACGACGTTCTCAAACCATTTTCATTTTTTGTCCTCGAAAAATGTAAAAAAATTTTAAAAAATGGAAACAACACACACTTTGGGTGCGTTTAGAATTGATTCCAAAACGTTTTTATTTTCTGTACGAAAATGAAAATGAAAACTTTTTTAGTTTCATTTTTGAATTATTTCTAAAAATGCGTTTAGTAGTTTTATTTAGAGATTGATTTCAGTTTTAAAAAAAACTGAAATTACGTTTGGTGGTTTAATTTTTAAAAACATGTAATAATATATTAAATAATCATATATTAAATAAATAATATTATTAAATATATTAAATAATAATATATTAAATAAATAACATTATTAAATATATTAAATAATAATATATTAAATAATAATATTATTAAATATATTAAATAAATAACATTATTAAATATATTAAATAATAATATATTAAATAAATAACATAAATAAACATATATAATACAAAAACGATTTCAAAAAAGAGGGAAGAAAATGAAAAAGAAAAAAAAAAGTGAAATCCGTTTTTCAAAAAACAGAAAACGAAAACGAGAAAATGAAAACACATTTTTTTCGTTTTTTGATTTCCACAAAAAGACAAACGTTTTTGGTTTTGCTTTTTAAAAAAAATTGCACCAAACACGTTTTTAACACCCGTTTTCATTTTTTTACTTTTAAAACCGTGAAAAACGAAAACGAAAACGCAAACAAACACACACTTTGCTTCTCATCAAGCTCTTTTTAAAAAAATAAAAATAAAAAATAAAAAAACTCCTTTTCTTTGTTCCCCCATTTTATTATCTTTTGCCTTCTCGTTAGATTCTGACCGCTATTAGTTTGAGGAATTTTCTAATTGTATTTTTAATATTGTAAGTGGTGAGATGGCTAATAATAATTAATTATGTTGCGTTTCACTTATAAAAAAAAAAAAAAAAAAAAAAAAAAAAAAAGACAGATGTAGAGCAAACAGTAAATCGGCTCAAAGTTGTTTATTAGTGAGGACATATAATTACCCATGACAAAACAGTTGATAAACATGGAATTCAAACGTCAAAACAAGAAATAAGATGAAATAAAATTAGGAAAGTTTCATCAAGCTACCCCAAATTCCATCAAGAAAAACAACCTTTACACCCACTTCGCAATCTAGACCTTTCCTGAACATTTCATTTTGGTCCGCCAAATTTGCTCATCATCTTGGCAATGATGGGAGCCACCTTTGGATTTGCTTGATGCTTTGCAAGATTAGCAGGGTTCTTCATTACTGCAGATAACATGACAAAAAAAAAAAAAAAAACACCATCGTACATGAGAAGCTATAAATTGAGGAGTCATTAGACTGTCCAAAAAAAAAAAAAAAAAAAAAAAAAAGGGAAGAACAAGCGCACCCACATATATACATAATCTAGACTAAAGAATCGAGGGTTAAGCCTCAAACGCCTCAAGGTGCACGCCTCAAACAAAAAAGGCACAAGCATTAGGTGCGCATTTGAAATGTAGGCCTTGAATCGCTAAGAGACCGCCTCAGTTCGAGGCGCCTTGAGGCGTATGCCTTTTAAACCATGATACATATACAATTATAAGTATTAGATTAGAGGAAGAGAGTACCATCTTGAAGAGCAGCCATGACTTCCGGATCACTAAATGCAGCCATTAGTTCAGGATCCTGTCCAAGTTGCAATAAAATCACAACAACGAATTCATGGATGGAATTACATCTCTATCTTGAACCAATATATGGAAAAGACGAGAAAAAATTTCTCCCACACATGATAATTATATGTGAATATAGGTAAGAAGACTTCCTATCTTTAATAGTTGCATCTCCACGATCTAGAAGAGCAGTCATAAAAAATTTTCATGAAAATTATTTACAGGGAATTATTTTCAACAATTCATTGAAGTGCTTACATTCAATATTTTGCTAAAATCAACATTTCCAGGCACTCCTCCGGGCATGCTACCAGGAAAACCTTCAGGAATACCTCCAGCTCCAGGGAAACCTCCAGCTCCGGGGAAACCTCCAGGCATACCACCCGGAAAACCACCAGGTTTTCTACTGGAAGATGATTCTTCTTGCTTCTTTGCCTTCTCATATGCAGCCTTCCAAATGCACAAGAAAATTCAATCACGTGATGAAGACAGAATGATAAGTTTGTTAGGAATTGAACATGGAAAAACAGTTACCTGAGCTTCAGCTCGGCGACATTGTCTCTCACGTTCAATTTTTTTCTCCTCCCTCTCTTTACGCAGCCTATCATATTTACGACGATGTTCCTCAATCTTGTGAGCATTTGGTTCAACCTGTTGAAGCCCAGGAAACATACCAAATAAGACACAGAACCAGATCATAACATGTGCAAAGCAAAGATATAATCAAGAGTTGCGTCAAATTCTTAAGTGTTCTCCACTCCATCCGCTCCTCATAAACTGCATCTTATTAACTGCCACTTGAAACATACCAACTTTGTGCAGACAACAAAAACTTGGTTTATACAGGAATTTGAAAGCCAAGTCGCTTATGCAAAATACAGCCAGTAACTTCAATACGGGCTCATCTAGAAAGCAAGTTAATAAAAAATAAGCTTAGCGTTTGTTTGACCTAAATGGTTTATTGAATAGTATAATGGATGAACTGTTTGTCTAATATCAATCGTTTATTTAACAACTAATACAAAGTTACTTCTCCAAAGCTCTTTGTTTTGAAGTTTGATGTACTATAGAATATAGATTTTATAGAAGCAAGAACAAACCAAGGACAGAAAGAGAGAGAGGGTGACAACCTTCTTAAGTACGGCATTTATTTCTTCATCATAGTCCAAAGTTGATGCCAAATGAAGATCCTTTGCTGCCTCTTCCCATTGACCAAGCATTGCATGTGCCATGCCCCGAGACTTGTAACCTTTTGCAGAGTCGGGATTAATCTGAAGAAAAGATCATTAAGTTCACTATCTCATAATGCCACAATCAAACTTACACCAAGAGCCATGCCTTTTTAAAGATGAACTCATTTTTCTATAGAAGCAAATTTGTCTCATTTTAATAACCAATACAGGAAACTAGAACTGCGGAAAGAATGATTGTGAACGTTCTATCTTTAGTAAGAAAAAGATATTATCATGTCATTCTTCTTTCTACAGATGTTGCACAATACAAAGACGTGAACTACCATGTAATCTACAACCATCAATACTCAGGAATGAATTTAGTAAAGTATGCGAACCTCAAGAGCGGCATTGGCATCACGAATTGCAGCATTGGGTTTTTTCATCTTGATATAAACAGTAGCTACCAAAGACACCAAACAAAGCACATTTCACAAAGAAAGCATCAAAAACTTTCTAACAAACAATCACTGACATGGTCATACCACAAAAACAAAATGTCAAACACAAACATACCTCTTGTCGCATACATGATCGCGGATGTTGGATTAAGCGAAATTGCTTCAGTGAGATGATCTATCGCCTCCTCCAAGTTACCTGCAAAATTCCACAACCAAACAAGTCAGACACTGTTCCATCAAACGCAGAAGGGAATATACAAAGTACACCTGTGTTCTAATTAAATGCAATATTCAACCTAACATTCTCAAGAATCACATAAATTCCCTTCCGATTATCCTATTTCGGTGGAAATTCTCTCTAGATTGCAAATACCTTTAACTCCCTCCCTTCTCGCACCTTTTTATTGACTTAATGTCCTAAATTTAGTCAAATCTTCAGGTTTACCCATACTAATCACCTTCTACACAGCTATCCCTGATCAATAACATCAAAGGTAGAATTTTTAAGGAATTAACAATCTTAATGCTTTTGTAATCATCAAACCTACAAAGTTAAGTATTGCATTCCACGAATTTTGTACTCTCCCAATCCAGAAATATACAAGCAATTGGAAACACAATCACTACCTTCCGAAATGGCTTCGATGGCCTTGGCCTTGGCCGCCTGCGAGGCGTCACGATTCTCCTCAGTGACCTCCACCGACGGGTCTCCCATCTGCAACCATGAAAAGCAATTCAACACACACGATAAAAAAATGAATAAACTACAAATAAATCAAGCAAAAAGATTGAAACCTTCTGTGGAGGATCGTTATCGGGCTCAACAATGTCGCCTTCTAGCTCGATATCGGATTCGATTATCTCGTCTTCTTCTTCCTCTTCGACATTGCCGTGCTTGCCTTCATCCTCCGCCATGTCCTCGTCGCTCTCATCCACAACATAGCTCTGATGAAATCGCTCGCATTTCAAACATGATTAAGGACTCAAAAAACACAGAGAAACGACCACAATAACACCAAAGGAAAAACCCTAAGGAAAAGCAATAGAATACCGATTTGGAGTCTCCGTGATCGTAAGCGGAGGGAGGAAGCTTGGCGCCGAGACTGAATCGAGACGTTTTTGAATGAGAAATCGATAGAAAGTTCCGGAAAAGATGCAAAAAAAAAAAAAAAGTGTGAAGATTGAGAGCTTTACCTCTCGATGTAGTCGCGGAAGAAGGAGAGAGAAGGATCGCGGAGAATCGAAGGATTGGACTTGCACTGTTCGACGAAATGCTTCAACTGGTTTACCTTTGATGCATCCATGGCTGTTTACTGAAAGTTTAGTTTCTATTGTTTTCTTTTTTAATTTTGGTTTTTGGATAAAGATGGGCTGAAGAGGAGAAGTGAGGGAAACCTTCCGAGTAAAATAGTGGAAATTCGACTCGACAAGGTTCTTCTAGTAGCTTCGAAAGAAAATGGATAGGATCGAGGTGGATGACTAGTGACGGTTTTGTTTTGTTTTCTTTTTTTTTTGGATTTGAGAATTTTTCTAATCTTGTTGTGCTGGCCCGTTCGATTCGCTAATTTGAGTTTTTAATTTAAGTTGAGATGTGATGTTGTGTGAGAGTTTTTTACTGTAGTAAAAAAATTAAATGTGATTATTTCTGAGAGCTTTTTACTATAACAAAACTCGAATCCTAAACTCGAATCAACGAAAATAACGGGCTATTCATGCGTTTAAATTAATAATTTTTAATTTTAATATTTAAATTTTAAATTTTTTATATAAAAAAGTATTATAATAAAATCAAAATATGAATTTAAACATATGAAATAAAATTCAGCCCGTTTAGTTGGAGGATTTATTTTTTAATTCGAATCATAATTCATGGTTCGTTAAAGTATTTTTTCTCATAAAAAATACACATAAATTAAAAATAATTCTAATCTTATGATTTTAATCCATAAACCAAATGAGCTCACGTTTATAAACTAATAATGTAATAATCACTTTTGACAAAAGCCCGGGCCATTTGGAAGGAATCTTATCACTTTAATTAAAGAGAAAATTAAAAAACTTATCTTTAAAACTTTATTGGTCTAGATTTATATTTTTACTCTTAATTAATACAATTTAATTAATAAAAATTAAAAATTAAAATTCATGTAATTTAAAAAGGCATTTATTTCTTTTTTTTTTTTCCCTGTCATTTGTCTCTTTTTTTTTTCCTAACATTTGTCTCTTTTTTTCTTCCCTGGCATGTGTCTCTTTTTTTTTTTTTTTTCCCCTTTAGTTGAACCGGCTTTAAGTAATAGGGATCTTTATGGTAGAAGTATCCCATGTAATGGGTAAAAATAATCACGAATCTCACATTGTTTTTTTGCTGAAATATGAGTCTCACATTGTTTACACAACAATAAATACTATTTATTTCATCGAATCGATTCGAGTTTTGCTGTAGTAAAAAGCTCTCAGAAACAGTCACATTTAACTTTTTTACTACAGTAAAAAACTCTCATATAAAGTCACATCTCAACTCGAATTAAAAACTCGAATTAGCGAACCAAACAGACCTTAAACCACCCCTCACCTTTTAAATGAAAAGCCAAATCTATATGCTGATGTCGATGTAAATAGGAATGGTAATCAACCTCTGCTACAAAGGCTCAAAGGTTACTATTCGGAAGAGAACATATTTCAAGACCAAGCTTTTACGTCAGGAATTTGACTTCTTCTTTATAGACTCCTGGGTCAAAGTCAATAGTGTATTTTTAATTCTCAAATTAGCTGCGTTAAAAAATTGTGTCGTGTAATATCAGTTGTACATGACTGTGGTCATACAAAATGGTTATAGATTTTGTTACACTGATGTTTAAAATAACTTTGCGCGTTAACTTCCAAATACACAAACATAAACAATTGAATGAAATGCCAATTATTTCATATCCAAATTCTGTAAACAAAACCAGGATTAAATGTATTCTGCAACTTCAAATTTTGTTGCAGTTCAAAGGAAAAAGAGAGAAATTCTGTGACTAGAAGTTCGACATAAATGAGATTGACAACTGCATTCCATAAAGGGCAACAATGCTGCTCAATTAATAAATAATATAAAACAACAAAGGAAGCAAACCAATAATTCACTATTCAAGTCTCCAAACCAGTAATGAAGTCCCTAACACTGCATTTGATCTCCGCTTTATTAAATCTCATAAGTCTCTTTCTGAATGTAAAAATCTAGTAAAACAATATGGAAACAAAGAATACGCAAAGGGTAGAAACTCCGGTCCACGCTGTCGTCTCTGCTCCATTGTGATTATCACCTCCTGGAACTGCAGATGAATGTAAAAATCACAAACTTGTTGAAACAAACAAAAGGTTTTCACCGGTAGACTCCAAGTCTGCAAATAAGACTTGATAGCATAATGTGTCCTAACATTGGTCAGTAAGTGACTATGAGTTTGCATGCTGTTTTTGATTCTTTTGTTTCTATGTAATGTAACACTCACTGACCCAAACTTCAAAATGTTACATGAACTACAGAGCTTCATGATTTCATGTTGCTTTTAAGGGAATAATATATGTATAAATTTGCCAAATGTGATGTCTTTTTAACAAATAACTTATTTCGATGTCATGCATAGAATTAGTTTCAGACTTTCAGTCTTACATATAACTTAACAAAGCTGAGATAACTCAAGTTAATTTTGATTTTTACAGACACAAATGTGCAGGAGAAATGCTAACATAATTCTTTCTCACTCTCTTTACACTTTCTGCATTCACTGTTTGACACGTGGGCTCCACTAACATAATATATTATTATTTAAATAAAAAATGAAATACTAGAGTCCACGTGTCAAACAATGAACACAGAGAGTGACAGAAAGAGTGATATTAGAATTTTTCAATGTGTAGATGAACTCGCTTCTCTTGATTATTTGTATAGACATAAAAGGTGGGAAGGTCATCATCTACCCAATAATTTGATTCATTTAGTTAACAGATATTGGATAGGCCTGTCTTTTTACAGGTTTTATTGACTTTCTATGTTCCCGTTTGATTTGAACTTTTTTGTTTGAATAAAAAAATTCAAACTGTGTGGTTTAAATTGTAGTTCCAATTAGCGTTTAGACGCGCAGTTAAAATTTTATATGAACAATGAATAAAATTCAAATTTGTGTTTGTTATGTGTGAAAAGCAAACATAGTGGATACTTTTTTACCGTTCAAAAATGGTTTGAATGGTTGAATTTAAGGAGAGTTAAACTTTAAGTTGGACAGCTTAATTCAGTTCAAACCAAGAATATAATTCAAATTTCGTGCTTACCAAGCACAAATTTAAACTATGCTCACTGTTCAAATTAAGTTAAATTGAGCTAAACCAGTGAAACAAAAAGAGGCTATATAATTTAATTGTTCCTATTTTTCTTGATTCTTTATTAACGCCCTTCTAAAAAGGAGAATTCATTAAAAAAACACACAGAAAATTCCGTTTCAAAGGAAGAAAAAGGAATAATATTTATAAAATTAAATTAAAGAAATTATGAATGGGAACCATTTGACTTAGACAAGACTACCAAGTCTACACGTTTATGTTTTTTTTCTCAATGTAACTTTCGTAATGCACAAAAAACACTTCCCCGTTCACACTCTATTTTCAAACTTTCTACTCTTGACTCTGCAGTTTTCAGCCACCGAATCATATTAATCAATTAGGTTAGGGGCTGGGGCAGCGTATTCCTGGGATAAACATAACTTGACTACAAAAGTCAAAATTGGAGTTCACACCAATGATTCAATAGCACTTATCATTCCAGTCCATTCTCAATAATCAATTGTATTTCTGAAGCCTTAACCAAAGGCACATTAATAACTTACACTTCGGCAGGCAAATTATTTCACCTAAACCATTATAACATGTTATGAAGAAATGGTGTTGGCAACCAAACTCTAAAACGAAGAAATAACTTATGCCCGTTTCTTTTCACAATTTAACTTTTTTATTACAGTGTCATTTCCCAAAAAAATTTAAATTTCAGTTTTTGAACCCACGGAAAGAAGGGGCTTTAATTTATCTTATTTTAGAATAAAATTTTTAAGATTTATTCCACTGGAGGACAAGAGTTTTAAACTTTTGTGCCCAAATGTATTACTATATAATATCGAATTTTGGTATGTCATAAACAAATTGAAGCATCACATAAATAGTGTTCAAATAATCCTAAATAAGCCAGTGATCTAGTGGTGTCAGAGGCATAAGAAGCTCTCCTTTTTTTTTTGGGGGGGGTTAAAAAGAAGAAATAAAAAAGCATAGAGAAATTTCTCACCTGGGGACGGAGAAGGACTTGTAGCTGCCAAAAAAAAAAACCAACAAATAAATGTAAAATTAGTTCAGACATTTCAACATTCATTTTCATTCAAAGATCACACCTTTTCAGAATTCAGATTAAGAAAAAAAAATAACGGCTTTAAAACTTTATGAGCCGCTGGTTGAATACTTGAATCAATAACTGACTTCATTCTTAAAAATCAAGAAACAATAACGCAAAAAATGAATAAATAAATAAAAACAGAAACTACTAAAGCAGTTATCAATCCAAATCCAAAAATTTAATTTTAGAAATGAGAATCGATGATCACCGAGAAGACAAAAAAAAAATAAAAAAAAAATAAAAACGACGTAACAATTGCATTGTCTGAACTAATGAAATGAAATTAGATCAGGCATTTTGGCATTCAAAGATTACATCAGAATTCAGAATAAGAAAAGAAAAAAATTGAACTAGCTCTCAAATCACAGATTTAATTCATAAAAATGACTTCAATCACACAAAATTTAGCGAAATAATTAAAAATTCCCAACCCTAACGGAAGAAATTCAGAATCAGAAGAGTAAATTAAATAAGAAAGGAAGACATACAGTTGCATTGGCTGAGGTTGATGGGGACGTCGCAGGCCTTGGTGAGGTTGAGAGCCTCATCGACGGTGACGCCGAAGCCTGTGAGGAGACCGGGAGTGTTGAAGACGTTGCAGAGGCAGGGGAACTCCGTCGTCACGGCATCCTTTATGGCTGTGCAGCAGCTCTGGTCCGGCTTCGTCTTGTTTAACGAATCTGCGCACTGCGCCAGCTTGCTTATGCACGTCTGCGTCTGCGCCTTTGCCGTCATGGCCAGCACCATCGCCACCGCAATCACCGCCATAGCCGTCGTCTTCAAGTAACCCATATCTCTCTCTCTCTCTCTCTCTCTCTCTCTCTCTCTGCGTTGCTTTTTTTTTTTTTTGGGTGTTTTTGTTTCAGCTTTCTTTCGTGCTTTGATTGTGGTGGTGTAGTTTGGCTTTTATGCACGGTTCTTTGGTCGGCCGGTTGTGTTTCGTGTCTTAATTTTCTTTCCTTTTTTTTTTTTTTAAGACAAATATTTTTTAAAGGGTTTTAGGACAATTATATTAGCACGTTATAAAGAAACTAGTAAAGCAAAATAAGGGAAAAAATAAAACCCAAAAATAAGGATTTAAATTTGACTCTCTCTCTCTCTCTCTCTCTCTCTAAAAAAGAATTAAATTTGAAACATCATTGTTTATATTATACACATAGTTAGTTTAAAATTTTAAAAAGACTATAAATAGATGTTATGGTTTTTAAAAATAAAACCCAAATCTGACTATGCCTTTTTCTTTGGTGAAAGAATTAAATTTGATTCCATCTCTAAAAAGAGGAATTAAATTCGAGACATCGTTATTCTAATAAAAAAAATACACATTATTATAATCAGTCAAAATTTTTAGAAATATTAAATGAATAAATAGATACATGGTGATGGTATGGCTTTTCTTATTATTATAATTTTGTATGCGTCAAATATTTTTTGGGTAAAGAAAAAAAATTGACGAAAATTTGTTGCTTAATTTGCTTCTTACATTTTATCCCAAAAAAAAAAAAAACCCCTCTTACATGACTAATTTATTTTTGCGTATATCTTTTTCATAGGGTTGAAGGGCAGGGCATTCCTTACCCACGGTAACTTCGTGGAGCGTTGACTCCACGCTCCTATCTTTTTCTTTTTTTTCCCCTTTTCTTTTTCTTTTTAAGTCCACTTCCTCATTTGGATATTGCTCTTTTACTATTTGTCTGATATAAACAAAGGGGCCTAAAGGTGAAGAAAACGCGGTCACAAAGTAGAAAACGCGGTTACAAAGTAGAAAACGCGTTTTCTTGCACTACAGCGAAAAATATTTTGTCCACAGCAACACAAATATTATGAGTAGGAGAATTGAACACCGTGCTTAAAATTATCCTGTTATTATTTTTTACGTTTTTTATGAAAGAAAAAATAAAAAATATTTTTAAAATGTCATTTAACGTAATAAAAATAAAAAATAAAAATAAAAATGATTTTTTTAGTGTAGTGTAAAATAAGAGAGAAATGAAAAATAATTGTTAGTTGTTTTTTATTTTTTAATTTTGTTTTCTCTTCTCTCGAGCAGAGAAAAAAATACATTAATAAATTTTTTATACTGAAAATAATTTATTGATAAAACTACCAAATGTATTTTTAAAAATGATTTATTTAAGATTGAAAACATTTTTATTTTTATTTTTATATAAAAAATAAAATTATTTTAAAATAAGTTCCAACGTCCAAAATTTCTTTGTCATTCGTATATTGTGTTTTCATCACACGTACTGTGTTAAAATAGCTTTTGTTATTTATTTTGCGGACAAGTGTAAGGAGTGTGCAACATTAGAGTCGAGTGTAAACAATGAAATCTTCGTCCACTTGGTATAAAAGTTAAAGAAAGAGATAAATACTTGGTAACAATTGTGACTTGGCTCGATAGTAACCCATTTGATCCCTTATTATGTCCACACATGTTATTCAAAATATTGGAATGACAAGACGAAGTCAAATTTGGAAGTTGGAATTAATTAAAATAAGTAGCAGATCATTTGGGTCTTCGAAAAAAAAAAAAATCATTTTCTGATTGAACATGAGTTAATGATCTCTAGTTATATTATGTTCTTATGACAAGAAGAGTAAAAATTCACAGTATTGCATATTGAACAATGCGATAATTGCTTATATTTTTGCAAATTTTTTATGTATCCAAGTACACATTGCCAGACAATGGATATTTAGAGCCCGTTTAGTTCATGGATTAAAATCATTTTCGATTTACGTGTATTTTTTATAAGAGAAAATATTGTAACGAATCATGATTCGAATCAGAGAATGAATCCTCTAACCAAACGGGCTGGCAGCGAATCATGAATCATGATTCGAATCAGAGAATGAATCCTCTAACCAAACGGGCTGGCAGTTGTTAGAATATTAAATGAGTAAAGGGATGGAAGGTGGGAGAATAGGATTGATGAAATATAAACTTAAATTGGCTAGTTTGAGTAAACTTGAGAAGGAAGTTAATGATTCTCAAAAGTAAGCAAATTCTTCAGCCTCATGCAAATAGAAATGAATCCTTTCTCCACATTATTTTTATATTAGTAAAATATGTGCACTCTTTGTGCCTAATTTATTTAAAACAACGATTATATAAATTAATTTTTTTAAAAATTAAGCCAAAAGCGGAAAAAAGATATAAAGCAAAAGCCATGAGAAAAAACAAAAAAAAAAAAAAAACTCAAAAAGTTACAAGAAAAAGAAGTTTTGTTGGATGAAGAGGAAAAAACCATTACGAAACGTTTCACACATTTCTTGTCGCATGCGAAATGCTTGGCCGAACTCCCTTTTAAAACTTAAAGCCCGTTTAGTTCATGGATTAGAACCATGAGATTAGAATCATTTTCGATTTACGTGTATTTTTTATGAGAGAAAATACTGTTGCGAACCATGAACCATGATTCGAATCAGAGAATGAATCCTCTAACCAAACGAGCTTGAATCATTTAGTAGGCAGGTATAATTAACAAAGAATAGTGATTAAAAAGACAAAAAACAAATAACAAAGAATAATAATTTCCCTTCTCTGATCGTTGTACCAAATAACATTTAAGAAAACAACCACCATTCTTTCCCTTCAAATATAATAATATGTTACTCACGTTTTCCTCATCATTATAAACTAGATGGTATTGTACCCCCATATCTCACTTTGAACTCACCATTATTTTTATCCGAGTACCATATTAGAATGTAACAATGGATCTAGCAGTTTATTATAATTCGAGAAATCAAATGATAGGCCAAGAGTTAAAAGAAACTAACTACTTCAGGGGTAATCTATCAGGTTACTATTATGTAGTTTTTTTTTTTTCTTTCTTTCTTTCTTTTTTGGTAAACTACTATTTATGTAGTTCTGAGCATCAAATATATATACTTTCAGAATAGACGGGCGATTATTATCAGCACCGAGAAAATAAGAAAAATAAACAAAAGCAAAAGAAAATGAATGAGACCTATCGCAGCCACTTAATACGAGACCTATCTTTTGCTAACGTTTCCTCAAGACTAAGAGCCACATTCAAATGGACAATTCTTCCTGATGGAGCAACCCTGAAAAACCTTCTAGAGATATGTTTTCTTGAATTTTCCCCAGCAGCCTCAACCATTTCACTAACATCACCAAAAGTCTCTTTATTCCACCTTTTAAGCTCAGCCTTTAAAAGCTTTAGTTTTTGAGAGAAATTGAACTGAGAACAGCCATAAAAAAACATTGGAATTCCAGACTTTTATCACCAAATCCCGAAAGTCCTAATGAGAAGTCCACCGATTATGGTCAGAAAAAATACGAGGAATACAAGAACATTGCGAAACAGCCCATTTACCAAGCCAATTTGAATTACAAAGAACTCTATCCAATCTCAACTCAACAAGTATACTTAGCACCATTAGTAGGTAAATGAATCAACACACAATCATCTGAGACCTGCTTAAAATCATCACACGAAACTTTCTTAGGGAGAGGACTACCTAACTTCTCATGAGCACCTAAAACTGCATTAAAATCTCCCATAACAACCCTGGGAAGAATAAAAGAGTTAGCCAACCCACGAAGCGCAGTCCAAAGAGATCTCCTCAAAGAAACTGAGGTAGAAGCGTATACAAAAGTCCAGAGACAACCAAGCAACTCTACTAAAATAGCCTCATCTGTAACTAAAACAACAGAACATATGGCACTGTCAATTCGCCTAACAATCCAAACAGAAGGGAATGGCATCGTCCCTATCATTCACAGCCGCAAAAGACAAACCACATGACTCCTAAAACCGATCCGAAATATCTAAAATCTTAGTCATAGGCTCACTTATACAAAGCAGCAAAGGTCTATTTTTGACACAAAAATTCCAAATCAACTGTTGGGTGGCTGAATTGCCAACTCCCCGAGCATTCCAGTAAAGAACATTCATCTTTATTTGTAAACTCTTACCACCTTACCCCTAGTTTGGTAAGGTTTTGCCAACCTCCATTTTCTTAGCTACGGAACCGCCCCTTTTCTTGAGAGTTTTTTTCCCACCAACCTTATCCCAAGACCTCCCCACAGCCTTCCTTAATTCTAGAGTGCTCGGTGACTCAGAAGAGATGGATACTCTCTTAGCCAAAATCCCATTACTACCTTTCTCCACCAACCCCTTATCCAGAACTAAAGAGGAACGCACGTCATCCACCGCCGCTTCCTTAAGGACATTCTCTTGCACCGGACCAGACCCCAAAGCATCACAACTCGCTGTTGACATAGCGGGTAGCACCCCACCAATGGCACATGAAGCCTCCATAACCTCATCACAAATAAGCCCTTTATCACTCACTGTGAGCTTCTCCACATTACAAGACTCATTCAAAGAAATGCCGGCTTTGCTCGACTCCTTTAAGGGTGACAATTCATGTCACGTATTGTGTTCGTGTCGTGTTTTGATCGTTTATTTTCTAAATTTTACAGTCAATTCGAACACAACCCATGACATGAAATTTTTTAAGAACCGCAACACAAATATGACACCATCACTTTACGGGTTGACACGACACGAAAATATCCTGTGACACAAAATTGACCCGTGAATCCGAAATTGACACAAAAATTATATATTTTTATTTAATTTTTTACATATTAGAAATAACTTAAAATTCATAACACACTAAAATACAATAACATTCATTAAAATTAAACAAATAATAGTATAAGATTTTGAGTATAACTATCATGATATCACAAGTTCATAATAAAATAAAAAATATGCAATAAAAAATATATGTATTTTTTAGTTTTTTACGAATTTCGTGTCGTGTTCGGATTAGGCGGGTCCAGCCTGAAATTGACACGTGTTTTTCGTGTCAATTTCATGTCGACTTAATTCTAA